GCACTTTTTTTAAAAGAAATATATATATATATATATATATATATATATATATATAGAACTTGCTATTAAATAAAGTACTTTTTAGAATAAAATTGAGATTTTTGATTAAATGTTAAAAAAATATAATAGTAATATCATGAACTCAACAATTGAGTAAAATGGAAAGTGAATTATTCTCAACTAGTTAGAGAAATAATATATGCGATATAATCTATAAATCCACTAAATAAATAAATAACTCATAAATGTCATGTCTAGATTAAATCCACCACGTTTTTCAAATAAAATATTGGGACCCAATAAAAGCCATTCCCAATTCCCATCTTTATATTTGAATCAATTCTTTGCCTTTTACTTATTTATTATTTTATTTTTCTTAGTAATATTTTGATATTTTCACATAACTCGAGTTCGAAATGAATTATAGTGACAATAAAAAGAAATTACTTCATGTAACACTTAATGATTTTTTTTTCAATTATTGTCACAATAATTATATCCCTAATGCAAAATATTTTAATTTGTTGTACTAGTAAAGCTTAATTATCACATCACAATATAAACATATAGATACAATATTCTATATGATCATATGGCCGGTGTGTAACTATATATTGATATTCTCTCTCTACTTGTGAATAATCATCATATCACAATATTATAGCTTGCATTTTCTTTTTCTTTTTTTCAAGGAACAAAAAGAATACATATGATGTTCTTATCAACATTGTGCATCAATATTCATTAATAAAATTATTATTTCTAAGTTATAACACTTGATAATTTAATTAGGGAATTAAATTATTGGTTTTGGTTGATCATCTCTCTCGCACACACAAAAGTGAACATTGAGCATTTTATAATATAAACAGAGGGTCCTACGTACCCATTGAATAAGTTAGTGATAGGAGATAACCTATGTAGCACGGACACCTAAAAACCGATATGGGGAAATGAAAAAAACGGATACAGGGAAAAGTGTAAATATTAAAAATATAGGGATATATTTGTAAATATCATAGAAATGTATTCAAAATAAAACTTAGGGTAAATAGTAAATAGCACTTAACTTCCATGTGGTTTGTGCTTTGTGCACATGACCACATTATACTTTCAATATAAGCACATAACTCCCTATAGTTTAAATTTTGTACACATGGCCCCTTGTACTTTTAATATAAGCACATCACCCCCTTCTGGAATTTCATTTGATAAATAATTATATTCATTAGTAAGAGAAATTTTTTTAAAGTACAAGAATGTTATGTGCTTAATTATATTAAAATACAAGGCGGTAATGGGGGCACAAAATTCAAACCACAGGGGATAAGTGCTATTTACACTAAATTTTACAATCAACCACTACTAGAAAAATGCCATTTAGCCATAGACATATTCGTCTCTAAATTGCGAAACTAATGCCGCTAAAGAGGATTTAGTGATATATTAGGTCCGTTGCTAACGCCATCGATAAACACCGCGTCGCTATTTTTTAGCGAGGACGAGGTAGAATCCGTAGCTAATATGTAACGCGATAAATCATATAAATATTTGAAAATTTGCTATTCAAACATCTTTCTAACTTTTTTGAAATTTGCAACATGACCTATGCGTTGTTCGACATGTGCGTCTTCATTTGCAACACGACCTATACGGTGTTCGAAATGTGTCCTCAAGTATCAGACACAAAATTTGTCCGAAACACGGAAATTTAAAAAGTTAAAGTTTCCGTTTACATATGATCAGATAACATATCTTTTCTTGTAATTAATTAAATTTTACTTCAATAAATAGGGGCCATAACTCGTTTTCTTTTGTGCGAAGATGCACTTTATTGGGATATATATATATATATATATATATATATATATATATATATATATATATATATATATATATTGGACGGAAGAAAAAAACGTGGAATAAATACTTTCTTCAATGTTCCTTCCTCCCCATTAACCAACTTGCAAAATTTCATTGCCATGAAAAACACGCACTTACGCGTGCGTACCACACGTTTAATTTTATATATATAATGAAATAAAATAAAATAAAATACAAAATGAAGCATTATATTCAAGCAGAAGATTCAAGTTATTTTAAAAACCAATGTTATCAGAACCGGACCGGACATTAAACCGGCGAGGCATTCGGGTCATGGTTGGACCGGTTCAACCGGGGTCAACCCGGGTTTTTTACTTTTTTATTTATTCTATTTATTTTTTAATTTTATATACACATAATTACATCCAAATAAAAATTTAAAACATTAAACAACATATACAAAACTTCACTTCAATCCAAAAAACTACCCATAATAATAATGTATCTCATCAAAATCATCCTCATCACATAATTAAAATTTAAAATATAAAACTAAAACATATAAACTAGTCAATTTACTTAAAAAGAACATAGTCACAAACATCCAAGAATATTTATTGAACATAAATTTTAAATTCACATCTAAGCAAAATTTGTTTAAAGAATTGAAATCTAAACAAAATTATTATCACATGATTAAACAAAAGAATTTAAAAATTGCACGATTCATCTACACGAAAGAGGGTACCGGCAGGTTGTGGGGGCAGCGGTGGCTGGCGGCGGCCGGCGATGGCTGGTGGTTTGCGGCGGCCGGCGGTGGCTGGTGGTTTGCGGCGGTGGCTGACGGCTGGAGGATTGGGCGGCGGCTGGGTGCGGGAAAGGCAGAATAGGTACATACTTGTCAAACAAGTCTGTTCATGTTTAACGTATTGTTTAATTCAATTTTTTTTTTATTTTTTTAAACCTAATAATCAAAACGACGTCGTTTTGATAAAATATTAAAAAAAAATATATATATATATAAAACGCAGCGTTTAGGAATCGAACCCGGGTCGGCGGCCGGTTCGCCGGGTCCCGGGTTCCATCCGGTCAAACCGGGTTTCTGGTAGTTGACCCCGGTTTTGAGTTTATGTGGGTTTGGGGGTTAGACCGGACCGGTTTTCCGGCGGGTCGCGGTCGAACCGGTCGGACCGGCCGGTCCGGTCCGGTTCTAATAACATTGTTAAAAACCCAATTCATAATTACGAGAATATATAGATATAGATTTTGACATGGAAAGACAAAGTTTAATTTAGTAGGGCATATATTATGATTAAATGACTATATGGGAAGGTCACTTTTAGTAGGGTTAAATGGGTCCAAGATGGGATATATTGAGTCTATTTTATCATGCCTATCAACCCACTTAGGTGTTTTTACTTTTTTTTTTTTTTTTTTTTTGATAATAAATGAAATTGACATGCATTATTAATATGAATTGAAGCAATGATTGAATTGAGGGCTGAGGGCTAAAGTTGTGATAAGTTGGTGTTTGCAAAAGCTTATTCAAAACCATAAATTAGCGATTGTTAGTTAACTGAGTGCTGAGTGTATGTTTCTAAAAGTTGACGGTGTTTGCAGAAAACTCGGGTCTAAATGTGTTTTTGAAAAGTAGCTTAAACCAGCTTATTTTAAAAGAAGCTGAAGCAAATATTGATTTTACAAATATTTTAAAACAGAATATGCGAAAAAAAAATGTGAACGGAATCCGGCCGCCCATTTGGATTCAACTATACATCGGTTCGGGTTTTGATTCAATAAATATATGATTACTAACTTCATTAGAGGCTTGATGTTTGATCTAACATGTAATTAAAAAAATGTAATCAAATGTTAAAATTATATTTATTTCTTACTATTTGAGTTTATAATGTTTGTAGCACCCAAAATATTGTATCATGTGATGGAACTAGCGATTTAACATTTAATATAGTGCGGTATGTCTAATTTCCCATAATACTATTTCACGTCCATCAAGACTAAAGTCGCATCATGGAACAACACGACTTTAGCTACCTCCTACGTTGCTCTTTTTGTTGGTACTACGTTTTCACCATTGGAATGAACTTTCTGAATCCCACCAATTCCGATTTGAAAATTTTAGTTTACGAATTAAGAAAAATTTATTCCAATTTCCAAAATTTGGATTTCTTATGTTTTTTTAGAATAGACTGTAACTAGTTTTCTACCCAAAAAAAATGTGTTTTTTATGAAATATTAATTATGATTCGATTAGTTCGATTTGCACCGCTGATTTCATGGAAACCCAAAATTTACTTTGCAAAATTCTACTTAGTTATACTCTCTTCTTAGATATATAGAAATTGTCATCAATGTAACCATCTTACAAAACAAAACAATTAAATTTGGCAACATAGTAAAAATCAATAAATTCTAGCTAGGTATCCTAAAACTTGATAAAATTTGAAAAGTATGAGGATGAACTAATAGTTGATTGAGATGGAGATACAAGAACAAGCATATTTTTGGTCAAAACATTAAAAAAATTTATATCTTTGACTTAACTATCGTGACATTCTCCACACTTAGTTTGCAGAATATTGTACGAAAAGTCGAGAATGAGTATTGTGACATCCTCCATACTAGGTTTGCATAATATTGTACGAGAAATAGATACATGTTGCTGTGATTTTGTTCTAACCACAGTGTGTGCGTGTGTAGAGAGAGAGAGATAGAGATTGATTTACATTCAAGGTTAGTTTCCAATAGGAAATTCAAATTTTACATGATAAAATTAACTATGTGGCTTGATATCTTAAAGTAGATTATTAAATTTCGAAAGCAAATATAAGTTGGTAAAGAATGTATTAATTAGGAAGAGTTTAAGGTACAAGTTGCAAGTCAAGTTGATTGACTTTAAGGAGACAATAAAACGTACACTAATTGGACTTCAATTTGTAGATTACTCATAATGTCAACTCATTTTAATTTAATGCTTATTTAATCACATTAATAAAACAACTTCGATTAATGTTGCATAATCACTTTGCATCATCGATTAAAAATGAATATTATATTTTTATTTTTATTTACATTTTACCATAACACACATAGATATATACTATATATTGATGGTCTTATGCATAGCCTATAATTATAGTGCAAAAGTATGTTAATCAAGATTAGGGTTTACTAATGATCTTGAGTTTAGATGAGATAAAGGTTTTTCTTTTCTTTAATATTTACTTGATTGAGTTTAAAGGGGCTTTAGAATTAAGTAAGTATTAGGGGGAATTGCTTTTTGGGGCAGTATGCAAAATTCTTGATACCCCATCTAATTTATGTATATATGTGTCACAATTTCATTTGATTATTATATTGCTTCCATTTTATTGTAGGGTAAATCACAGACACCACCTCATATTAGGTAAAATACGAAAAAATCCCTCAATGTTTAGGTTATTACAATCACATAATTATGAATTTTCTTACACGTCCATACTTATAGTGTCAAATTCAACAGAATCTTCTAGATTCCGTGGAATGTTTTCTAATTTGTACTCGTTTTATGCAAAAATGCAGTTCATGATGCACCACAATCTGATATTTACAAGTCAAAAGACTCATCTTTTGATCATCTTGTTTCAAAATATAGAGCTCGAATGCGGTAAAATGGGTACAAACTGGAGAATATTCTATATAATCTAAAAGATTCTACTAAATTTGACACCGCAAGAATAAACGTGTACGAAAATTCATAGCTGAGAGGTAATGATAATTACCAAAAGAAGAGGGATTTTTTGTAATTTGACATTTTATTGTAATAATCTTTTACTTGTTTGGTGTACTTTGGGTGTAAAGAATCTTTCTGGTTTTATACGATTAGTTTTATCTATTTTCTTGCAATAAAAGCATTTATGTATTTTCAGCTTGACAGTAGCTCACAGGATTTAATTAAACAAATAATAATAGGACAGAGAAAAAGATTGTTTTTATGTGTGTGTCCACTTATTAGAGAGAGAGAGAGAGAAAAGATAGGAAAGAGGGATGAAGAAACAAAGGGCAAACCCCCATAATATAAACCCATAAAAACCAAACATTAATCCACAACTTCTCTCTCTCTCTCTCTCTCATATAATTAATTGGTTTATTTTTTAGAGGGTTTTTGCTTTGTATTTGTTTATCTCACAAAGTTGCAGTCTTGAGAGGTGCACTGTGTGAGTTTGTGTGTGTGTAGCAAATCCCATCAAAGAGTTCATATTTTCTTGATATAAAGGTGAGATCTTTAATTGTTGTTTGCTCTATATATACAAACCTTAATCTTAATTTGCAGCAAAAAAAAAATAATAATAATAATAATAATTAAAAATAATTTCTTGATACATATTTTGCTTCTTATTACAGCAACAGCATCATCATATTTATTTTCTTGAAAATACAAAAAAAAAAAAAATGGAGGGGTACTCAAGAAAGGAGAAGGGTTGGGTTACAGAAGAATCGGAGAAGCTTGAGCTGAGGCTGGGGCTAGGCCCACCAGGCGGTGACTGGACCACCGTCACAGACAACAATAATATCAACAGCCCATGTCATAAAAATCCAGTCTTGATATCATCTCCATGGCACCAAGAAAATGCAGCAGCAAAGGGTGGTAGTGGGTTTCTTCATATGACTGTGATGAAGGAACCGTCACAGCCATGTGGTAATAGAGTAGCTGCTGCTGCAGCAGATAACTCAGATAAGAATAAGGGATTTTCAGCAGCTGCTCCTCCTCCTCCTGCAAGCAGTGCTCAGAAAAGGTACCTAACCTTTTTTTTTTTTTTTAAATAATTAATATTCTTTTTTCTCCCTCTTTTTGGGACAGAGTGTATTTCCTGTTTTTTTACTCAACATTTATTAATTTATTACATGTTGTGGTCCATCATGAATTCATGATGCATATATGTCTGCCTTTCATTCTTTTATTGTCTGCTGTGCATATGAAACTTGGGGTAATTTGGTAATTTATGCATGCTTTGGAATTTATATGTGTATGTTAAACAATATCCACTCTTTAAATTTAAACCCATAATTATTAATTAGTGTTAATTGCCTACTAACTATGAGTATTATTATTTTTTTAAAACAATTGTCCTAAACCAAAATGCAGAACTGCTCCTGCTCCAGTGGTGGGATGGCCTCCAATTCGATCGTTTCGAAAGAATCTTGCAAGTGGAAATTCTTCCAAACTAGCCACCGATTCGACGAATGTGGGACCCGACAAATTTCCCGCCAAAAAACCCGTCGAGAACTCCCCGAAAACTCCGTTTGTGAAGATCAACATGGACGGTATTCCCATTGGTCGAAAAGTGGATCTTGGATCGTATGACAGTTATGAGAAGCTTTCGTATGGTGTCGATGAACTCTTCAGAGGACTTCTTGCAGGTTTAAGATTATATCGAAATTCTTACAACTTATTTCCGGTTTTTATTACGTGTTTTGTCGTATTTCTTTTTGGTGCACAATATTATGAGTATACTGATTTTCTTGTTTTTTTTTTCGTTTATCGATGATTGTTGTAGCTCAAAGTGACTCTACGAAAGAAATCGGAGGTTTGTTGAATGGGAATAATAGGGAATATACTCTTGTGTATGAAGATAATGAAGGAGACAGAATGCTTGTGGGGGATGTTCCTTGGCAGTAAGAATCTTTTTTTTTTTTTTTTTAATTTATTTATTATTTTTTCTACGTGGATCCGATCTCTTACATCTTTTGTTCTATTACATTTTATGTTCCTTATATATATTTATATTCTTGATTTTGCAGAAACATTTGAAATATAAAAATTACAACTTGCTAATTTAGTATTAGGGGCCTTCTTGGCTTATTAATTAGTTGAATGTTTGCCACTTGCACTAGTGATTTAAATCTTTAGAATATGATGCTGTCTTTGTGCTGTAATGACCTGCGAAAATCATGTGATAATTGCTCATTACCAATTATTTCCGTATTTTAAAAATTAGTAGATCATTAGCAAAATAATACGACGACTTATACTTGTGAAATATGTCGTAATTCTTGCAGCATGTTCGTCTCGACGGTTAAGAGGCTACGAGTCTTGAAAAGCTCTGAGTTACCTACGTTGTCTCGTGAGTTCTTGCTTCCGATAACATGGAATTTTTTGGTTTCGTTAACTTTAATATTAATTATTAAGTGATGTCAATTTGGATAATTGTTGTTTGCAGGTGGAAGTAAACAGGGGAAGCTGTCATTCGATGCTTAACCTAAGTAGAAGCGACGACAACTTGTGTTATTACAACTTGTGTTATTTTTGTTGTCTACTTAAAGACAAAAATGAAAAGGGTTTTATTGTATTTTGAATCAACTCCCTACTTGTAATTGGGATTTGGGGAGATTGACTAATGAATATTTGCTATGTTGTTTTCAAATTAAGGTGAATTTTGTGTATATATCTAATGTTTTTTTTTTCTTGAATCTTGATTTGAAATGATTATGTGGCACCATTATTGCAAAGATTTGCAATACATTGTTGTAACTGTGGGGATTTTATATTTATATGTATTTTGTTTTTTGCCTTTTCGGCTAATGTCGAACCCAGTGTACATCGGTAAATTTCACTCTTGTGCGGTAAATTGTAAACAATACGAGAGGTGCAATATCTGCATAATCCTTCAATGCGATGTAGGTTCCGTTTGTTCTTTTCACCTTTTCTTTCGTCTCGTAAAACTAACTAGCTGCAAGCAAAAGATACGAGAGAAAATCGAATCATATCACCGTAAAACCGACACACAATCACACATACATGCATACATCCTTGGCCAAAAATACAATTTTATTATGTAATTTCATTATTGGTATTGTTCGTTTTCCCGATAAAAACTCGAAGTTCAAACATCATAAGAAACCGTCGTCATCGTCATAAGTTACTGAAATTGCATCAAGGCCCTTCAAGATACATCTAATCACGTACCCTATCCAGCCAAATAAATATCCAAGAGGAGATTCAAAAAACAAAAGCACTGAAATATTAAGTGTTCTCACTTCTCAATTCATGATGATGACGTGTCATCAAGGTAGAGCGAGTGAGAGGCGGCAAGCAGGGCCGCCCCAATTCCCGACCCGTCGTTCGAGTGCTCGAAAGTAATGGCCGACGAACTTTCATCCCCGATTAGCTCGCCCACTGTATTTTCTAAGCACTTTCTGTATTCTGTGTAGTGCTCGTATAGACCCCCGTCCATGGCTATAACGGTCTTTTCGCCCCCTTCCTTGGGAATATCCCGCCCCGTTTTCTTCAACACGCCGAAGATGCCGGCAGCTGCTAGGCGGGCCCCACGGGTGGCGGCAATGTTGCAGAGCTCCACCACTACTCGCCTCTTTTTCAGGGAGGTGTTGGATATCTGAGGTATAGGAGAAGAGAATTTCAAACGGATCCGTATAAAGCGGCTCAAATTCACCGCAATAACTCAAATAAAGAAAGATCTATGAATTTGAAGTACACCGTTAAAAACATGTGAAAATACTTTGGGACAAAATTCAGGGTGGAAATCGGACAAATCGGGCCAGGATTAGCACTTTCGGAAAAAAATTCATTTCTTTTTTCAGTGAAAAACTAATTCTAAATTCCATTCCAAAAATTCAGAAAAATAATAAATCGGAATTTTGGAAATTGGAATGGAAAAACTTGTTCCAGAATCAGAAATATTTCAAATCGGAATCAACGGAATTCGAAATTTCCAAATTATTTTTCACCAGTAACAGTACATAATAATATTGATATTATAAGTAATTTTCAGGGAAAAAATCAGAGTTTTCGGAACTTTCAGAACCGGAAAAATTGGAAATCGGAACCTTCAGAATCAGAATGACAAATATTGTTCCAAAATTGGAAATATTTGAATTGGAATCGGCGGAATTCGGATATTATATTCCAATTTCCACCACTATAGAAAACTAAGCAAGAAAACGTAAGCTTTTACCTCCAAAATATTCTTCAGTTTTTCATCGACTACTCTCAGATCAGAAGATGTATCTTGATGCATAGCCGACATTTCAGGAGTCCTGCATATTCATCAATTTCGTACAAATTTCATCATCTCTATTACTATATAAGCAGAAAAATAGATCGAATCATCGTCTTAAAAAAAACGAAATTGATAATAAAATATACTGGTTTTTGTTATTGAGTACCTCAAAATGAATGGAATTTTAAGTTTAGGTGGAACTTCATCGCCGAAGAAGAAAGCTTCTTCAGCCATCCTAAGTAAAACTCTTCGTACGATTTCACCCAAGTACATGCCAGAAGTTAACTTCTCAAATATCTGTATACAAAATTTATATTAATTATTAATCTGGATTGAATAAAAACTGAAAAAAAGGGGAAAAAATACGTAAAAAATCGTTTATTGTACCTGTTCTCCAGGATTCAGACTTTCTACATCCAATGCATGGTCATAGTCGGTTATTGGAAGGTGAGACGACCTGAAGTTACCCCACTCCATATTTATAACCTGAAATGTAAGAAAATATTAAAGCCTTCAATCAAATCTTTTTCTTTTTCTTTCCCGAAATCAAATTCTTGAAAATGGTTATTAAAGATTAAAGAATTCGCTAACCATTTCTCCAGATTTAGGCAAAGGGCCGTGCCATTTTGGAATGGCTTGTGCACGTTCTACATATGCAGCATTAGTTCCAGTGCCTAATATCACAGCAATAGAGACATCGTTGTGTGTGTATCTTCCTCCTGCTAATGTTCCGATTGTATCGTTGACCTGGCATAAACATTTAAAAAAGAAAGTGTTAAACTAATATTCTACTAAAGAGTAGAAGTTCGTTGTATAAACACTTCAACGGAAACCAAAATAAACTTACTAAAGCTGCCACACGCATTTCGACTCCTTTTCTTTTCAAGGCTTTCGTTAGTTCAACTACCACATCTTGGCCAACCTATAAACAGTAGTAATTAAATGAAAATCAAGAATGGAAGATGGGAATTAGGTGAAACCATGACAAAAGTCATTGCACTTTAACTAATAAATTAATGAAATAAAGAAAACAAAATGTACCGTGTCGTCAATAGAGAAGCCCTTTGTCCACCTCATAAGAGTGCCAGAATTTATCGAAGTTTGCATTACAGGGAAAGAGAAAGTGAAACCCAATTCCCTCTGTTTCCCAGGAGGCTGATGAAATATTTGTTCTTCTTCAGCAACAAAATTCGCAAGTTTTTCCGCAATATAATCAAAAAGTGCCTGCAAAAACGAATTAAGTTTTGGTCATGAGACGTCAGTGAATCTCGGGATAATGGAAAAAAAAAATAGTGGATAAATAAAAATTAATTTACTTACATCTGAAGTCCCGCACATCAACGCAGGGGGTATTGAAGCCTCGGCGAATTCTTGATGAACAATACCGCCTTCTTTGCCTCCTAATTGGACTCGTAAAACACGGAAGTTTGTGCCACCAAGATCAAGAGCATAAAAGACCCCTTCTTCTTCACTGAGATTACACACAATTGTGAAAAGTAAATACATAGAAAATTTTATAAGCTAGAACGAATAAGGCGGAAAAAACGAGCTCAAGAACACAAACTTTTCATCCATTCTATACATTGAAAGAATGGATGTCGAAAAAAAATGCTGATCGGAATAAAAATGCAGAATGGTACATACTCTTACACAATAAGCTAATTTCAAAAATCATCCATCCGTTCTTAAAAGACATGAAATACTCTGCCATTACCTAGAAACCCGAGACTAAATAAGACCAGCGTGAAATTGAAAGAAAGTACTCGTTCAACTGGACTATTATCATTCAATATTTAGTTAGGATAAGTTAATCCACCTTTAAAGCATACCCCGAGTTACCTGATTAGAATGAAATACAATGAACTAGGAAATTGTCGACATTTGAATTCAATCGGAGACCAGCTTTTTCTCAAAAGCAACTCCACCCAGTTATAATTGCATATCACCAAATTTCACAATTAAATGAACACTATAGAACACACACACAAAAAACACTATTCCAACAGTATATAGCACAAATCAAACTTGCATATTACTATATTCGTCTCGTCCATAAATTATTTTTCGTATCTAAGCCCGTCGACTGATATTTCAATTTGCCTAATCAGAAAAAATCACACAAAAGTATCCAATTTTACATCACAAAAGAAAGAGGGACAACCCAAATCTTCATCACTAAATCCACAGTAAGAGTCCATCACTTGCAAAAAAATTCACTTCAAATCGACATACATAACCAAACACAATTCATATAATACATTCGGAAATCCAGAAAAAAATAATGGAGAGAGAGAGAGAGAGAGAGAGAGAGAGAGAGAGAGAGAGAGAGAGATTTACCCAGTGGGGAGATTGTCGACATAGCTGATAAGCATCTTGAGCTTGCTACCGCCCTCAGATGCCAATCCAGCATGCATTTCCACAGTCATGGCGTCCGCAATCTGAACCAGCTTCGCCTCGGGGGTACCGCACTTCTCCTCAAATTCCTTCACAATTGCCACCGCCCGTGCCCACCTCCCGGAGCTCTTCATCCGCTGCCGCACAACCACCGCCGCCACTCCAACCACCGCAGCGGTCCCGATCACCGCCGCCGCAACCGCCACCTTCCCCATTTTCCTCTTCTTCTTTTATTACTGACAACAACAAAAATCAAAGATCGAATCCTTCACCACTCTAATTCTAGTGTTTGTGATGTGGATTTGTGGATCAATTAATGGATCGGAAAAAATAAATTATTAAAAAATAAAATAAAGGTTGGAGAGAGAGAGTCTAATGAAGGGGGCAACGAAAAACACGGGATCAAAATTAATCTCGGATGAAAATTAAGACTCAGCCAAGATAAAGATATATATACAGATATACATACATATATACATAAAAATATGTATGGATAAATTAAAAATAAAAATGGAAAGATTATGTGGATTTTTTGTTTACTTTGGAAATGTAGATTGAATTCCGGTAATTTTTTTCCTATCCCTCCCTATTTTTGGGGATTTTATTCGCCAAGTATTCGTTTTTATCTTGTTTTTTTCTCTAAATATTATCGATATTACTTATATTTAAGATTAAATTACAATCACCTAAGATAAGATAAATTACAAAAAAATCTCTGTTGTTGGATAATTACAACAATTCCTCTCAATTATAAGTCTTCTTACACGCTTATCTTTATAGTCTCAAATTCAATAGATTTTTTGAATTATGGAGAATAGTTTTCTAATTTGTACTCGTTTTGTACAAAGATACAGTTACTGATACACCGTACAAGCCAAGAAACACATCTTAACATCATCTTGTTTCAACATATAGAGCTCGAATGGGGTAAAACATGTACAAGCTGAAGAATATTTCACATAATCTAGAAAGTTACACTAAAATATAGACCCCGCAAGAATGAACGTGTAAGAAGACTTATAGTTGAATATGTGGTTGTAATTTCCCAAACATAATGTATTTTTTCGTAATTAGACGTTACCGTAATTTACCCTAATAAACATGATCAGCGTGTAGAGCTTGATTTTAGTATCATTTAAAATGAATGACTTGGACCGTTGACCTTCAAAGGCAAGCAACAAATGACACATAATTATTTTCAACATCACACTTTATTTAAAGATGATAAAAGCACACCCCTTTTATTATTCTTAAAGATGATTTGACTTGTCACATGGTCACATGTCATGTTGTAATAACTGAATTAAACTATTCCTTACAATGTCATAACATTAACGAAACACATGGTATAATAAATTAATAATGGCATCAATTTCAAAAGAGAATATTTAACACGTTGGACAAAGTTAAATGTACATAATTTTTGTATTATACAAATAAAGAAGAAGTGTCTCAAAGTAGTAGTAGCATAGCAAAAGACAAACTGTGACATCTAAAGCAAAAAAATAACACTCCCACATCAACCCCAGAACAAAAGAGAACAGCTTTTACCTTTTTACCCCCACTCCAAAAATCTATTTCAATACCAGAAACAAAAGTAGAACAAATTTGCTTATAAAGTTCGGTAACTATACACTAAAAGCATCTCTATCGGAATCTTCAATTTTTTCGCTGCTAAATTAATGGGATTTCGATCTTCTCAACCTTACTGCATAAATAAGCCACAAAAACACCGAGATAGAGACATACATGGTACGATAATTCAAAAAAAAAAAAAAAAAAGAAGTCGTCAGATTTCTATAACGTGCCTCATCACATTCTTCTCTCCGTCTCCCGATTTTAGCACCATCGCCAGATCAGCATTAGGCTTCAAGAAAAACAATGAAAGAAAAGGCACAACAGAAATATCAGCCAAATATGTTTGGTAACCATTTAAAAATAATAATTGTCCAAAAAAGAACTTAAATTGAAGGCGAGGGGCAAATTGAACTTATATCAAAAACCTCTAACTCCTCCTTGTGCGTATTATGCAAAAGCTGAGGTGGACTAGCCTCGTTCGAACAAGTACCACCCGGCGAAGTTCCTTTCTCGTTGTTCTCCGAGTAAGCATCACCAGAACTCAAGTTGCAGCAGCCGTTGTCAGAATTCTCTGCAGTGTGTTTCCCGTGGTTTGGTGCAATTACACCATCATTGAACTCTTTATCTCTATCAACTATCCCAGTTAAACTAGAGACCACTTCTGGTTTCGTTGTTTCAGTCAATGCACCAATACTTTCCTTCTGAGGGCTAATAGATTGTCTTTTCTTTTCACACACCTCCAAATCTGGCACATCGACCTCCTTCTTACGTTTTGAAACTCTCTCGACAGATCCTTCACAAGACGCCTTATCAACCTGGCTAGCAGGTCTCGCATGTCGGGTTCTTCTGTAACCTTCCGGAAATACATAGGACGGAATTTGCTTTCTTCGAACATGAGAAACATATATTTCCATCCCAGGTTTCCAGTACATGTAAGAATTTATTTGATGCCTAAACTCGTCGACAGTCTGGCGGATATCAAACTGTTGACCTTCTTGTATAACCTCTCCTTGTTTCCTTTGTAAACCCATAAAAAAGGCACAGTGAGAACACTGATTAGACGAATCGACATAATCATGTGGGCAAGGGTGGCACTGTAATTTCCCAGATGTGTCCCGTTCTATCTGCACATGTTGAGAAAAAACAGAGAGAGAAAAATGAAAGAGAAGATTATCTTATCTAGCTCATGGGGTATAAAAGAAAAGTTTAGATTTGACATCACCATTGATTCGATTCAGTCATTATTGACATCCAATGAAATATATTATATTACCATAAGAGTTAACTGCCTCAGACGGGATTCAACCCAGCCTCTCCAAGCACGCAGGTCATCAACATCGGCAGCAATAATATCAACCTGCAGATAGTTTTTATAACTTTCAAAGAATAAATATGGCTCAAACAAAGCACTCCACTGCACTTTATTCAGCTCGATATCCTGGAAAATGCACATCAAGTTCAAATAAAATTAATACGTAATAATACTTGTGGAAAAGGGCGTTGTACTGCACAACCAAAACAGGTTAAACACTGTCTACCTCGCAAATTCTTTTACCAACTTGGAACTGTTCCATCATAACACGAAGAGTACTCGCTGAAACATTGTAACTTGAATTCATGCAAGGGTAGGAGGGGGTTATGATTGGCATGAGATGATTGCGGTCCCACGGATTTTTTTTAGGATTCCATACGGAAAATCCGAGTTCGTTATCCTCTATTTCACAAAGGGTCACAGCATTTGGCCAACGCCAGAGTGTATAGATTATAAAAAATCGAGACACTAGCATACTGGGATTCGCTTTAGGATAAAACTGACACAACCGGGCTACAAGGAGAGCCCAGTTCACACCACCAAGAAATCCTGTCACCTGACGTATAACAAAATAGAATAAATCAAATACTCGACAGCACATATTGGATAGCCACAAAGATGGACAGGAATGGTAAAATGCTAAAAATAATCAACTTACATTTGAATAAACACCGCGCCTCTTAGCCCAAAACTTCAGACATCGAAGAGTAGTTCGGAAGTTCTAAAATTTACAAGATGATTAGCCATGGCAAGAGCGCATTCCATATAATAACAACAAAATTGATAAATGAAAAAGAAAAGAGGACAAAAACTTTTCGTGTTAGAAAAAGTACCTCTACATCCGGAACAAGCTTGAGAATCTGATCTGCAACACGACAGCCATTAAGACTCCGTACAGTTGGTTCATCTATGTCGTACAACACAGATATATTTGAGATGTCCAAATCCTATAAAATTAGTAACCAACAATAAGAGGAAATCAAGCATTTAAAGCTTATGTCATACTTTCTAAAGAGTTTGTCGATTCTCACTCCCTCATTTGGCTTTTACAGGCAATGCATTGGCAACCATAAAAGATTTTACTATTTATCGAGGTTGTGATGACATGTAAACATACATAAAGAAGAGAGGAAAGAGACAAACTACACACTCAAGAGAAAAGAGCTACTTAGACAGGGAAAACAAATCAAGGGTATCATGAGAGCCTCTTCTTCACATTTACGTACTACTAAGAGATGCAATCAACAAATCTACAGCATGATCATTGATCATCCACCTGGTCTCGTTAAGACAATAGCCACTAACAAGTATGACAGAAAAGTCCTAGCTTGAACACCACAACAAATTTTTAGTACTTGCACAGTTCAAGTAAGAAATACTATCCTACAAGGCAAAACATGGATCGTATGCAAAAACGATTATCAACCAACAAACAAGTATGGGAGATTACATAAAGTGTTGAGTCATATCTGCATTAAGAACCACACATGCAAGAAAATGGACAAGGATACCAAAAGAATAAAAAACAACAGAAAGAATGAAAAGAATATAATGACAATGGAAAGGAAGTCCTAATTGAAAAATGATGTTGGAAACACAATTCACTGTTGTAACTCAAAGTTCTAAGAATGAACTATATAGAGAAACGAATGAATGATCTATGAAAAATTAACCCCACATTCAATGTCTCAATTTTCATCTCCGAAAAGACAATTATATGAGCAATAATATTAGTTAACTAATATCGTGAGAAACAGGTTACGGATTTAACTCCAAGAATAAATTATGACCAAAAAGTTACTTCAAATGGCAGGGATCCAGAAGTGATTATTTCCCACTACATTTAAGAGACAAAAATTAATTTGAACTATCATTCAAGAGGCTTGCAGTACAACTTACATCAGGCACAACCAAGAGAGAAATGCTGGCATAGAGAAGATCAATCGATATCCCATCAAACTTGAATTTCATAACAGGAACATGAGCATCAGGTACTGGTTGGAGTTCAGTAACTTCCTCCATCTCGTCTAAAATGTTATGGAGTACGTAAAAAAAGTCTTCCTGGCAAGGCAGTATTCCCATCATTACATATTTAATTTACATGGAACAGCTCTAAAGTGGATGACCAAAAGTCAGAAAGTACCTCCCGATTAACATATGATGGCCCAACACACAAAGTATCAATGTCAGCTCCAGGGCCATGAACCTGTAAAATTAAATCTACAATCAGTATTACAAAGTACAAGCTTTGCATCCATACAGATAACGTCAGCCCACGTCGTGATTGACGAGAAAAGTGCAACCAAAGAATTTAAAAGAAAAGAAAACCAGCACGAGAAACCATACAAGGTTTGAAATAGTTAGCATGCTAAGAAAATATATGGGAAAAAAACCTACCAAAAAAATATATATAACACCTTTGCTTATATCAGATAAATGAGCAGTGTGGAATTAATAAGAAGCACGTTCATATGGTTTTCCATCACAATCAATATAGAGGACACTTGGAAGCATAATATCAAAGTCCACTTGCCATAGCTTCTATTCCAAGAACGGATAACGATAGTCTGGATCCAATCAATGCAGCAAAACAAAGACAACCCAGACAGAGTTCAATAACAGTTTCTAACCCCTGTGAATTATCCTCAAAAAATTTCCAAGCTAAAAGTCAGGCTATTTCATATAACTCAACCCCAATCCTTTCATGAATTCACCAAAAAGGCATCACTATATCAGCAGTTATCTACTTCTCTTACCAATAATTGCAACCTCAAGCTCCAAGTTCAAATAAATTAAAATTTAAGAGAGGGTGGAGACATCTGAGAACATAAGCTGCTTACCCCAAGTCGATAAGATCCAAAAGTAAAAATAACAGCATTGGCATCTTCCACCATTTGATCAGTGTACCCCCTCAACCGAGTAAGTTCTTTCACCCAGTCTTTCACAACCTATAATAAAAGCATAGTGTAACACGTTATGTTTTAAGCAAAGACATGGAAGTTACCATAAAAGAGAAGTACCACCCATAAACTCAGCGAAAAGTGCCCGCACAAATTTCACATTCAAGTTTAAAAAGATGTCCCTCTTCAGCAGCATAAGATGCATAAACATAAAAAAGGAAAAATAAATAATAATAGCCTCTTCATCTCTTATAGTTCAGTACCAAATCATCAACATGTGAAATTTATTATCCTTTTAAACCTTAAATATGTCGAATTCGAAAACCATAATATCCAAACTGTATCAATTTTTCCTACGATGGTTTTTGTCTTCTACTTTGTTAACGGGCCACAACAAATATTACATTCAAATCCCCAATCTATAAAAACCAAAACATAAGAGAATGGGAGTCCTTTTGATGACATTTTGATTTTCTTTTTCCAATTTGAGTTTCACATTTCTCACTTACAAAATTACTACCATATACACGTGGTGTACCTTGCTCCTATAAACCTAAGAGCTCACAATAAATTAAGTCTTGACCAAATAAAACAGAGATAAAATTGGGAGGGAGAAGTTACCTTTTTAAGTCTGTCCAGAACCTCTTCCCTCTTCGCAGTTTCTTCTGCACTCTCATAAAGTCCCGAATCGACCAGAAACTAAAATCCAACAACAAAAAAGAGCCAACTAATGAGAAATCCAGAGTACAAAACAGCAATTGCTCTATACCATGAAACCAGAGTGACTAATACTATGAAACCAAAGTGACTAATACTAAGACATATGAAACCTTTTCCAAGTCCTTGGTTCTCTGAATATCCACATCGGTGGGCCCCGCGTGTGACAAAGGTTTCGTCACACCCCACTGCATTGGCGGGTCTTTCTGCTCAGCCGGAGGCGGCGAGGGAGTAGGCAATGAATTGAAATCGTCCGATCCAACCATATCTCTGAACCCTCCAATCGCCCAAAAACCCTAACCCTAATCCGAGATGAAGAAAGCAAAAAAACGCCCAAAACCGAACCCTAACACAAAGCGATTGAACCGCCGACTCCGATTTCGTGATAAAACCAAAAAAAAAAAACAGAAAACCCAGAAATCTGCCTCAAATAACTAAATTATTTTCAACTCCACCGAATTGCAACTCACATCAAGCTACAAGGAACGAGCATAGGATGAAAAATCAGGAGCAGAGCAACCCGGGGGGGAGGAATTCAAAATCGGCCGAGAACGAGATCAAATAATAAAACCCTGAAATTGGGGCGCAAACGATAGCTACTTTCAACCGGGAAAAGCGAAAAATTAAAAATCATAGATCTAATGAAGAACACCGGAAATTCTCGATTTCAGACAGGGAGGAAGGAAAGTCTCTCCGCTTTCTTCACGGTACGGGCGGTGGCTGTGGGTGGAAGAGGCGCGGGGGGTAAGGTGGTCTTGGGGGAGGGCATAACCAATGGGGGTGGGGGTGGGGGGAAATAAGAGATTGCAGTAATACTACATTTGAGTTTATAAAATTGAAATAATGAGATATACCTTTAATCACGTTTCATTACTTATTATTAATATATATATATATATATATATATATATATATATAATTATGGTAAATATATCTTTTGGCAACATTTTATAAGTCAAAATTCGGTTTAGGTTAATGTTATTTAAAACTAATTTATTTCCGATTTATCACCGACTAATCACCGCCGCACTGATTAATCGTGAGTCGGTGTTTGACCGACTCGGACCTGATTACTGTTTTTTACAACGAGTGGGGTAGATCTTTTTGTTCTCTATTATAGTCTTATAATTTGGACTTGATTAGCCAAGTACAAAGTAGAACTCTCTCATCCAATAATAAGAATTTATTTTTTTTAATTAAAAAAAATAGGTGAGAGAAAATAATATATGAGATATACAAGGTTCAATAAAACAGGATAAGAAATAATTATGCCCATAATTGTGGGCGTTCCAAAACATTTATTCAACTAATCAAGTGTAAATGACGTGGAATGAGTTAATTAATTAATTATGATTCTTATCAATCAAAGCTTATCATCAATCTAATTACTACTTAATAATATTAAATATTAATGGCCAACAATAAATTACTAATATTTGACATACTACGAAATGACAATTTAGGGTGGCCCAAATAGAAAATTGGGCCATGACAAAAGTAAAGGACCATTGATTCATTTATTAACTATCAAGAAATGGGCCTTCGGAGCAAATATTTAGTTCCAATATGAATTTCATTTTAAATTTCATATATAAATCAATTTTAAATTCAATCCGTGGTGAATAAGAGAACAATCGTAGAAGCTCAATTCAAATGCAAAACACACACACACACACACACAAATCACATGGAGAATTAACGTGGTTTGAATTGAGAATCAACCCTACTTTCACGGGTATAATAAACTCGAATTTTATTGATGGATCAGTCGATTAGATTACAAGCTAACACACTCATACTAACAACTTACGAAAGAAAAAAAAAGTTCAAATTTTAACAATGGCAGCTAGAACTTCTCTTTGAGTCGTTTCGTCTATCTAAGTTTACAGTTATAGATTAGTGTATCTCTCATCGTGTCTCTTGCACACAAGAGTTGTCTTTAATACTATTTTCCATCAGCCAACTTACACATGAGAACTGAGTACATGAGTGATGAAGTTAAAGATAGATCACCTTAGAGAGTTGAAATAAGATGAGCTGGAAGAGCAGAGTGGATCACTGGCTCACGAGCTTGATGACCTTGAGATACCTGCGATCATAGAACACATGAACTAAGCCGGGGGTTGATCCGGCGGAAACCCCTCCGACGCTCAAGTCAGACGTGCTGATCATAGAAAATAGTCCAGAGAATACAGTTGTAGTATTGCTCAGTTAATAGGACGTACCTTAAGGAATGAGTTCAAACCTTTATTTATAGCTTAGTTGAGATTGTCGGGCCCAAACCTTACTTGAAGGTGATTTGGCCTCGATGATAATGGTCTTCGATATTAGGCTCGTGGCCCAGTATGTAAGGAAATTGTAGGCCCATTGGGTTGGCCCAATTAGGCATATCATTAATGATCCAGTGCATTCACCTAATATTTTAGAGATCGTTAATAAATTTGTCATCTCAATCTACTAGTAATGCTTTTGCAAGATACCTAAGATTTTCCGAGGCATGACACTTAGTTCCATTATTAAGTTTCACTTAGATGCACTATCTTGTTATCTTTATCATAATCCCTTATTAGGCGATGTTTGCGAAAGTTTTTGAAAACGGCCTTTGAACTTATTTTGGCTCATGATCTACTTCTGGTTATCTGCAATTCAAAAAGAACAATTGACTTTTATAAACTAAAAACTATTTCGAATTTAGTAATTCAAAATTGTGTGAAAAAAGATAACAACAATTCCTACCACCTTTAATATTTTGAATACTTTGGGAGTCGAATTTGAAGTTAGATCGAATAACGAAATTATACAATTTACTATCAAAATGAACTCACTCCAAAAACTACCCCATAACTTTTTCAAATTGATTATAAATTTAGTAAATTCGAATTTGACACGGAAAGCCAACAAAAACATTTACAATTAATAAATACATTCACCGGAACTTAAAATGCCAATTTAATTCAAAAATGGAGAAAAATTCAAACTAAAGTATTTAAAACTAATAAATCAAAGTACATTAAATTAATAAAAATTTCAAAAGCTTACCTAAATCAAGCGTCACATCATTGACTTTATTGACCTAATTCATTGGCTTCAATCAAGTTACCAAAATCTTCCCTCACCTAGTACCTAAACTTTGTAGGAAATTAACTTCACCACCCCCAAACTTTAGGAAATTAGAAAACCACCCCACAACCACCCACATTCCCACTCTTAACACCCTCATTAAATTCTTCCCCCATTTTCAAGATTTCCTCACACACAACACACTGTCACACTCTCCTCATAAATTTCCACCAAAATTAAAAAAAAAAATTAAATAAAAAATTAAAAAATGAAATTAAGTGAAGATTTTCTGCAGTGAAAATGGCAGAGATTTCTTCTGAGCAAGAAGAACAAACCCAAAGTCAATGGAAATAAAGGGGTCCCCAAAATCCCACAAGATTTTTTTGCCAAGGGAAGAGAATACACACAGTTCCACAGCAACTTTTCATCTGGGGAAGGGGGGCTTTTATTATTTTAATTAATTAATTAATTAATTCAGATATAAATATGGTACAATGGTACTACAAACTAACTATTGGGAAATAAAAAGATTTTTCTTGAATTTAATTTATTGGGTTAAAGAAAAGATTTTTAAATAAATACTCTATTCAAAAGGTGCCAGCGGCTGAGAATTTCTGAGTGGGGATCATTTTTTTTTTCTACACGTTGCTCCCACAAAGCAAGTTATTT